CATCCATAGTCAAACACAGCCATAGGAACTGCTTATAACCATTAAAATATTCCAAAAGAAAAAAAATCAAATCTCAAATCTAAACATAAGCCCAAACACGCTACATTACTGCTGATAATCCAGAAATTTCAACGAGATTTTTCTTTCCACGAAATGTAGGCCTATGATTAAAGCAACGATCCGTCCGTTTCTCTGAATGTGAGAACGTAACTAATACATTTCCTGGCGTGAATTTTGATCCATATGTTACAGTAACAAAAACTTCGCGCGAGTTTTGTTTTATAGTATTATAATCCGTACAACCGTGGATCCTGATTTCTATTCACAGTCAGTCTGTCAGATATAATGGTCAAGTTACCAAACGGTGCATCGTACTCCCTAGCTTAGCTGACAAAATCGATAAAGTCGAGGTCAGCAGTCATCCTTCATAGGACTATGTATTGTGCATGATATAAAAATTATCTAGGGGGCTTTCTGTATCGTTTATCATAACAATAGTGTGCTCTGTCAACAGGTGGTATGGTGCGTGGTGATGATATTACTGGAACACTCTACCCTCATAATAATTCATGCGTATTTACGTCATGAGGTTGTATTATGGAAAACTATTTACACTAATTTCAGTTACCAAATATTTAATTATTCGGGGTTTTTTTCATGTTCACTTGCCTTGTTTAATCTGTTGTATTTTCTAATTCTCCGTATTTAAATTTTCTGAAATAATACACCTACGTATATCTATGAATATAATTTTATTACCTTGTTTATTTAGAAAAATATAGATTTGGAAATTATTTTACACAAGCACAAAAAGTTGTCGTGTTCAATCAATTAATGAAATATTATGTATATATATATATATATATAGTATATATATATATATAGTATATATATATATGTAATATTCATGTAAGTATAAGTAGTTTATAAGTCATATGTATAAGTAGTTTATAAGTCATAAGAAGCATATTTAAGGTTGATAAGGATAGCAGGAGCTATCGAAACATTTGCTTTTGTTATATTTTAATTCTAGATTTTGATTTGGAATTTCAATATGTTATCGTTAGCAGAAATACAAACATAAAGTGAAAATATACGTGGTTATTGCGAGATTTCCCTTCCTTTCAAATGTTAGGGGCGCTATAACCTGAACCAATGTGGGTAACATTGTTATTGTTTCAACAATCGACGACTAAAATTTGGTTGTGTTAAATATTCTTATTTACTTTTCTACATTATTTTTCTTATAAAAAATATTTAAAAAATTGTTAAACACTAAATACCGTACTTAAAAGCCTTGTCCACTTTTATTTGACCTGCCTAAATATGGCTATGATCACATCATGACCATAATTATATAGGAACAGCATGTCTATGGGCATAAAACATTTTACGCCAAAAGAAAAAAAAAGCGTTGGACTTAAATTAAATCTGACAGCAGTAAACTTCACTTTAGGCAAAAGTCGAAAACAACAATTTTAGAAAAAAAAGGGCAAAAAATGAATATGATGAAATTGATAAAATATGTTTTATTAGGTCCTGGTCTCCCTCTAATTAAAGACTCAATCGATTAAAGACCACTTTCAATTTAAGACCTATATCAACATTATACCTGTAATTGTAAATCGATATTGTGATTTACAAGGCATACGCGAAAAGAAGAAGAAAGTAGGAAGAGAAAAGGATTGCTTGGAAACACTGACAGGAATATATTACAAAATGAAAATAAAAGATGCCTGTCATAAATTTAAAGAATTATGTGATATACCCTTCACATTTCATTTAATAGTAAACAAAAAAAAATACAAAACACAGATAGCTGTATCCAACCAAAGATCATTTAACTTGAGTAATTCTTTACTAAGTAAATTAATCAAATTGGCATACAATTACATGGAAACTATATAGATCCACTATGTCTGCTTGTAAATCATACGGTTTCAAAATTGCGTTAATATAAAAGTAATTACCATTATTAATACTTAGGTAATATAGAATGACGTCATTTCTATTAGACACATGGTTGTTATGGTTCTTGCTTGCAGCAAGTTTGACGACGTTTGGCATATTATTCGTGGCTTCAATGAAGAGCCGCTTCGGTACATTTAAAAAACAAAGCTGTCAAAATAAATCTGTTCCTAATTAAACCGCGTTAACTACCGTATGTGCTACGTTTTTGTAAAAATAGGTAATTAAAAAGATGCTGGTTCCTTTACGTTTCATAGAATTCAACATCTAATTAAATTACACCTTATATGGCTGAGTAGAGATACCTATAAATTTCAAGATAAGTGTACGTTATGTTACGAGTATAAACAGTACGTCTGGAAGCTTTGCCAATCACAAGCTAAAGCTGATGTTTACATTTGCAGCATAACTTTTCTTATCACTGAAGAAGATCTTATTTTAAGTAAAGGGTTATATTTAACTGTATATATTGATACCTGTATTTGTGTATGTTCAAATCGTAATAAAAAAAATAGAAGGGTGGGCTATAATACACTCATAGAAGTCCGACACTTTGGCCACGGGTGCGTATTAAACGGTTTTGTGTTGCGTTGGCTATAACGAATAATATAACTTAAATTTTGTAGCGTTATAAAATAATTATTTTAATCTGGTCTACAAATAGTGGAACTAGTTACAGTCTTAAAATAGGCCTTATGTTGAGTTCTTAGGCCAAATGGTGATAATAAAAAGTACTATGGTATAGTGATTAGAAATAGACGCTAAACTATATACGTTCAACCAAATTGATGAGATTTTGAGTAGTGTCAACAATAAATTTCGTATCATACCGTTGCGAAAAAAATATATAAGAACTTGGTGTTAATTCATTGTTTTTAATCTTTGAATTTCATGTGTATATTTAAAAATTTTGTTGGATTAAGTCATACCAGTCAAAGTTTATGAGACATTGGTCTTTTAGATAGTGTATATGTACATGTACTATTACAGCAACCTAAGTAAATTTAACCATATGATGAGATATTGATAAACCTACTGACTTTCCAACTAAATCGCGTTAGCGCACATTTGAAAATATGTCACGACAGTAGAGAATCGCCTACATATGATTAAATGTAAGTTCAGTCAACAAAATAACATTTTAATTACGTTTGTCTAGCCAGGGAACAGTGAAATTACACTGCCTAGCGAATGAAACTGTAGTTTTAAATGCGAAACTCTAGAGGGCGCCACTAAGATTATAACTAATTTTGTGTTCATTAACCTTAATTTCATATGTATACCATTTTCTTTAAATAATCTGTTGGGCCACGTGTTTCAAAGATATATATTTTTTTTCAATTCAAATTAATTTATCGATTAACATACAATGCAATACAAACCAATACTAAAAAAATATTCACAGCTATTTATAAGAGAGGTATGCTTACGTTAATGTTATGTCTGTATAAGATGAGATGATATTGACCTATATATTGAGAAATTGCTTTATAGAAGGGGTAAATGTGGCAAGGTCAATAGACAGGGCATAGGGTACGAGAATATGGGAGAAATGATGTTTCAAAGCGGGTGCAACAAAGTACAGGAACGAAGTTGCCTAGAATGGCAAAGAGAAGGACGATTGGAGGGAATTATTCTGGGCTAGGTTATGAAAGCATTTGAACTGTTTCAGATTTTTATTATTTTTTGTTAGAAAAAATCTGTAGGCATTACCGAACAATAATTTTTATTATTTTTTGTTAGAAAAAATCTGTAGGCATTACCGAACAATAATTCTAAGCTGGAATATATTTAAAATTTAACTTCTTTACGTTACTTAACTCAAATTTACAAACTTTTGGTTAACCCTTTCTAATAAGCTAACAAGACTTCAACGTAGTAGAGATACCAAACCAAATATTCGTTCATCTTTTCAAAAATAAAATATAAAAAAAAACATATGCTATGTTCGTATTCTAAACAACACGGTAACTACTGTCATTTTTCGTCACGGCCTGACTCAAATAAAAGCAACGGTTGTTAGCACGGAGTAGATCGAAGTCCCAAGTTCGATGTTGTGGTGGCCATGGCCAGAACTATAATATCAGTAACAATTTAATCTTACCGTGGTCCACTCTCCTCGTGTTTCAACAAAACCTTACTACCCGTTATAAATGTTTCATGAACATAAGCACCAAATGCTGTCCTGCCTGCCATACCAATCAACCTTCCATGATTTTTCGGCAGGACCTTTTGAATGACGAGTCCCAAAGAAACCACACAATGTTACGAAACATTGTAAATACTGTCATCGTAACGAGTTCATAGAACATGTGCGGGGGTGTAGGGCAGTAACTAGAACATCCGCACCAACAGACGACAACATAAGTTCGGTATGTCAAGTAGCTTGAGTTCAAATCTTCAACAAACAGCGAATTCAAGATAAAAATTTCAATCTTGAATTTTTCATTCGAATATATCTGCACACTGGCACACGTATATTAATTAAACAGTATACGTATTATTTTTCACCTGTTCGATGTTATTATCAGTTTAAGAATAAGTGGGAACAGCTGTGCGTTCAGTAAGGTCCAGGATTTGAATATTATATAAATATTAATTAATATACTGACAATAATTGTTAGGAATATATAATTATGAGATCATTATGCCCACGTTTCTGAGATATCCTTTTACAGAGAAACAAAGACGGTATCGTAATGTAAATCGATTATCTGAGGCAAAATTGTGACAAATGTAAGTATTTGTTTTAAACGTTAGGCCTACTGCAAAAATAGGCGTACCCGTTTAGGAGAATGTCTATAAAGAACACATTTTTGCCTACCAATGGAGGAAAAAGCTCTACATAAGTATGAAAAAATCACATGGTAACGTGTTTTACACACGTGATTTTGTAGCGCATGGTTACCGCTGACGCGTCAGCAGCTTGTAAACGCCCACGCAGCAACAGGTTTTCAGTTTACAAATTGATAACAGATTAGACGAGTTCATTGATTAGTAACAGATTAGTGTACAGTATATTAACTGCTTACCAACTGAGATGTTCAAAGTCGCTGGCGAGTTTTCCAATGAACTCGTCAAATTCTTCGCTATTCAGGTGCTGATTGGCCATACGCCGCCTGCGTCGTCTGCTTACCGCAAGTAACGTGTCGCTGACGCTTTGGAAGCCCTCAGAAAAATCGGTAATGCTGATCCGACCGTCCTACACAAAATGTACACAAACTAATTTGTAATTCGACTCTATTGTGAAAGGAGATTTTCATAATTGTATTTAATTTTGTATATGTTTTGGTAAATGGTGCATGACAATGAACAGATAGATTTCCTATTACCATCGTACTACAACGTAGTTTTATGTCTACATTTACTAGTCTTTGAATAAAGCTACCCCAGAATACTTTTTAAAAATAAAATTATTAAAAATATGTAATTATTATAGTATTGTTGATAACCAAAAAAACTGGATAGGTGCTGTGTTGTAAAAATTATAATTAATAGACTGGTGTTATTGTTATCATTATCATCATCACCATCATTATCATCATCCTTCTCATTATCGTCATCATCACCACCATAACCGTCATCACTAATGTTTTATTATCGTTATTATCATCTATATTATCATTATTAGTAATGGTTGTTATTGTTATGATTCTTATCACCATCATTATCGTTATCGTAATCATGATTTTGCTTTACCTGATCTCTGTCCAATTCATGGAAGACCTTCTGCAGTTCATCCTGACTGAGCTCACTGCAGACACTGGAAAGCTCAGACTTCTCAATGAATCCGCTGCCATTCAGATCGCAAGCCTCAAACAATTGCTGAATGGATTCAGGGCTAGGGTTTATGATTGCCATAGCACAATCAGTCCTACAAAGAGAAGCATTTCGTAAGTATCATAAATCTGAGCTTAATCGTACACAATAAAGGTACATTTTCAAACCCAATCTGAATTTCCGGATCGGAAGGTCTAACGAATCGATCAGGCAAAGCCAGTCACCCATTGCGCGCGATGGTCGTGGGCCAATGCGTTTTTATGAAGAACGCAACGTGACGACGCCCGCGCAACAGATTGTTTTTTTTTTTATTACGGTCCGTTCATGTCAGAATGGCACAGGCAATCAGCAGATTTGACGTGACGTTGCGTTTTACAGGCAGTGAGTGCCCGGCTTTAAGAATAGGGCCGCTGGCGCAGTGCTTGGGAAACGCGGTCCGAATTTCCGTTCGGATAGGCCTACGATGTGATCTAGCTTATATGAGTTTGTGTATATTGAGTTGAGTTGTAATACACAAAGTTCAACCAAAGTACAGTACTGTAGTACGTACCGGTAAAGAAAAAAAAATTCTCCCGATGTTATATGTCTCCCTCACAAGAAAGACTTAAACTAAAACATAATATAGTCGACCATTTGTATATAAAAATGTAATTATCAACAGCTCGCCGTTCTTGATTAAATGTGCTTCGGTGCATGACTCATATACGCGACCCTTGAAAGTTTACCATTTTTTTTTTACGTGGGACTATTTTTTTTTGACAGGAAACTTGTACAACTATCCTTAAACTTGTTTCCCCATCCGTGATCGCCAATTTATAATGAATACCGATAATAAAAATATTGTCAAATCAATTCATAAATATTGTTTGAAGGTTTGCATAGCAAAGTGATTCATAAATAGAATTGGCAGGTAGCCTGACAGATGAAAAATACAGAATAAACTTCAAACAAGTAAAGAATAGGTTATTGAATGCTATAAATACACATACTGATACATTTTGAGTACTTTAGTTAAGTAAATATTTAATAAATTCTGTAGCATATGGCAACTTCACATGCGACTTGTAATAACGTACGAGGAGATAATTCAAGAGGCTCTAATGAATGAGTGCTGCAAGGTAAACACAGCAGAAGAGTCTATAATTAGGACGCTAATTTTTCGAGATGTTCAAACTAACATCAATGCCTAATCACGTCTGTTGATTGCGTTGATATACGCAGGCTGCCGTCTATCGTTCCTTTCAACAGGATCGGACCGATATTTATTCACAATCTTATATCTGTCTCTTATACACATCTAGATGTGTATACTGTGCCCAATGTAGGGGAGACCGGGGTCATGCAATTGTAACACTTTTTGGAAAATTGGTCCTACCACCTTTGTTAAGGTTAATTGAGTGTTTAAACCTGTTCAAAATGAAAGATATATGTCACAGTATAAAATCCTACAGGGTTTGAGTTTAATAGAAAATTATATTTTTAGGCTATTCACAATTAAATATGTGACGTCATATGTTACATTTGACCCGCGGTAAGGGGCAAATGTAACAAAGGTAAGGGGCAATTGTAACACACTAATAATTACACACCATACATCTTCTTTTTAACAATTTGAATGTATATGTTGATTGAAATTTATTTAACATGCAAACCTATATTTAACAATGTTTGTCACACGAGAGATTAATTTAGACATAAGTTTCTTATGGAGGTCTATCTATTATATTGTATTATAGTATAAGTTTGATTTTTTTAAACAATTTACCAACCATACAACAGTTTAATATCACCTCAGAAACGATAATTGTAAATTCGACAATGCCTTGTGTATTCATTATAGGCCTATATTATTACAAAATTTAATTAGGTCCCAATCATATCAAATATTTTATACTGTATCATATTCATAAGCAAAAGTAAGTCCACTAAAAGTTGTCCATGCACTAGACTTTATGTATTGAAATACAAATCAACTGATTTTGATCCACTGTATGATGTCTATTGAGATTCACAATTTTGACATACAAAGAAAGATTCAAATGATGTGCACTCCTCATGGGCCAAATAATGCTCTAGCTTGAACAATTCCTTTCAACGGTCTGTAGACCGCTGCCTGTGGTGAACATTCTGAAATGAATTAAAATATTGTTTTTTTAATTCTCGAGGGGCAATTGTAACACTCTGTTACATTTTCCCCCGACCTAGCCAGGTATCATTATCGGCCTTTTGGATATTGTTCACAAGTTACCGGCATTAAAACATTCACCACAACACAAGCCTAAATATACACTGTTTTCATCATGTAAAGTACTTCCCGGTAGCACAAGTTCCTATACATACAATCTAAAATATTAAATAACCACAAAACCTTACTTACCTGGTCAAAACATCGTTTTTTGGCTGTAAAATTTCATCCTTTTATTATTAGCTAGCGATACACGATACATGAAACATGATAAGCGCATGCGCAGTGCTGAACTCGAATTGCTGGCGAACTCCTACCAGCGATTAGTCATTTGTTACATTTGCCCCGTGTTTCAATTGACCCCAGTCTCCCCTACAATATATTTAAAAATACACTTACATCTGACCGTTATCAGATTCAGTCCCTTAAAAGTGTTATTAAAATGATATAATATTTATATAAAATATAATAATGATATATATAATATAAAATGTTAATGGTTTTAAAGTATAAGCATGTGAGTATACTACTTTAGTGATAAGACAAAAAATATTGTATAAGCCACAATGTCAATATGTAATCATGACGACGTTTCTATTTGTACTGTATGGGAGATAAACGATTCTGATAAATGTATATGTTAATAGGTCTATAAATGAAAGTGTAATAAGCCTCCATAGAAATATATATATATATATATATATATATATATGTATATATATATATACATTAACCCGTATTTTGAACTTGCATATAAATAATAGTATACAGGTCATTATGACAGGCCAAAGTGTTAATATAATATTACATGTAATGATAATGATTTAATATAATGGTTATAATAACATTTAGCAATAATTATTAAATGATTAAACAGCAGAAAAAGCCCCAAAGCTAACAAAAAGTTATTTTTCATTAGTGCATTTATATATTTCAAAAACATTTTACGGTAATTGTATCAGTAGCTACGTTTTTGCCACTCATTACATTTATTTTATTGCAAATACAGTCTCATCATATATATATTTATATATATATACATTTATATATATATACTGTAAATATATTTTTTTTATATTTAATATATATATATA